TTTAGGTTTCAACCGTTTCAAAATTGAACTTTTGACTTGAGTTTCTATACTTAAAAATCACATGAAACCAAATCGAACCCATTCACCAAATTATTTTAAAAGATTTACTTGTTTCACCCAAAATATATTATCTATTCTTCAAATTTACTCGAGCCGTAGTCCCATTCTTTGTTTAATTTTGTGTCTTATTCATTTTTTGTAGAACTCAAGTGACATCTAACACGTGTTTCAAGCAGTAGCTTATATGTATACAATGTCGAAGAACATCTAGAAATGAAGAAGTTGAGATATATACCTATTCAAATGCATACTAAAAAATGTTATTATTTACAAATAAAAACTGTTAAAAGTGTGGCTATAGAGTACAAGTAACTTCAATACAAATATTGGCCACCATTGGAAACAGATTTCTGAAAAACTGACATCAGTTCTCTCGACAACATCTGAAAATATAGTATTTGGACAGTTTTTGACGAAGTACAAATATGAAAAATAGAAGAATAGCCAGACCTTTAGAGATCCAACTGATAAGAAATAGACCAAAGAACCTATGAACGCCTAGAGTCCTGCTCGTATTCGTTTCAATGTCACTAGATAACGGTGATGATTGACTTTGAAACCATTTCTTTTCGATCTCCAGAAGTTTTCCCTTTTCTCTGAGTCTGGCAATTGCTTTTGACATTTCATGGACCAACGGTGAACCTTTTTGGAAAGCCTGCAACATGAGATAACAGATGCATGTCCTATTAAAAAGATGAGAAGTTCTAAAGAAATTAATTCACACTTCTCAAATGAACCATAGATGACACTCAATAGCTCTCATCAGGGTGATTTGCTCGGGCTAGCCAAGAAAGCCTTNTCTCAAATGAACCATAGATGACACTCAATAGCTCTCATCAGGGTGATTTGCTCGGGCTAGCCTAGAAAGCCTTAGCGCGCAAAGGCACAGAGCTCAAACACAGGCTTAGTAAGAGGTTCAAAGACTGTAGTTAACGGTCCTCACTCATGGAGGTACTTGTGGCAGAAAAGCGGATCAATTATGATGAACATGAGCGTAAATTTCTAACTTTTAAAAGGCAACGCCCTGGTTTGAGCATTCGTGTTTGCTTTATGCCTGGCATGACCAGGTATATAAGCAGTGATTCCTAATGTAAGGTATCCTTAACCTTACAGAAAGCAGATTTTGAATGACGAAAACAAACTATGTCTTATACTCAATAAATGAATTTAAGGGGAAGGGAGGTGGCAGGGAACACGCATGTTGTTCAAGGAAGAAGAACACTTACAAAAGCAAAGCCATTAGTCGTCTCTTGGGAGTCAATCATGGCGTAATCATGTGGGTACTTAGCAAGGAATAACTTTATGTAAGGTATTTCATCAATTATAGCACCAACGCCGCCTTTCTTGCTTCCTCTTCTTAATGCCTCATTGTATCTCTCAGGCGAAGAATATGGCATTACCATGTTATCCTGGAAGTTTAAGTTGCTAACAGTGAATCCTTGTACAAAAGACTTAGCTCCTATAGAATCGCCTTTTACCAATGTAATCCGTTGAAGTGTCAGAAGTGAACTCAAGTTTGCTGTATAACTTGATGTAAGTATCAGAACTACGAATAACCAAACACCCACAACAAATTTTGATATATTACTTTTTAATTTTTCTCCTGCAAAACAAACCGAAACACAATTCACAGGCTATAAATAAGTGCCTAAATCTCACCTATGCTTCAAATAGGAAAACCATGAAATTCAGTAACAATAGGACAGAAAGAGCTTACTATGAGCATAAACAAGAGTTGACGCTGCAAACCACACAATTGTTCCAATTTGCGAAGCTTTGGAACCTTGAAATTCATCGTTTATAGGGTGTTCAATAAGCCAAACGACGAAACCAGTCAGAATGAAGGAACTTGCACTCACTATCCATAGAGGCCCACTGAGTGGCTTTAAGAAGAACCATGGATCTTTATCGTTCAATCTTGCTACCATTCCAACACCTAATTCTGTGAAAGGCAATGTGAAGTCGACATATTGGGACCTGTCGGAAGTGATTGTTATGTCCCCCACCACAGCATCGTAAGTCTACTCCATTCATGGTACATAATGCCACAACATATCAGTTAGAAACAGAGGAAATTTTAGGGCCATACGGTTGAATATTTATCTATAAGAAGATAGTAATACCTGAAGATAAACTTGCTGTGCATAATCATCGTAACTTCCATTCGGTATGGGAACGAACTCATAAAGTAGTTCATGACGTAAAGCCTTAATGGCAGTTTCGAATACATCTATGCAGTAGCCTGAGATGATCGTTGCATTGGTTTGAGGATCATAACGTACATCTACCAATTCTTTAAAACTAGGCTTCACTGGTACCCCAATTCTAAGCTTTTTTCTGCCCATAGTTTGTAATAAAGAACCTCTGGGAATAATTCTATATCCCTTACGACAGGTAAAAGCATTCGAATCTTTAGAAGGATTAAAACTGCAAACTGATGAGTTAAGTTCTCTAAAGCTTCCATCTTTAGTCGTCCATACTCCCATTCTTTTTTCTTCATTGTCTTGAACATTCACCAAATTGAATTCTTCAGGATATAATTTCCCATCCCCTAATTCAAACTCACCACTTAAACCCTCAAATCTAACTTGTGAAAGCTCATGTAGGAGTAACATGCCACCATGAGAATGTAAAAAACTGGACCTCAATCCTGCAACTTGATCTTTAGCATTTAAAATTTCAACCCTCTCAACAGCTTCTGCTAGTGCTTGCATTGTATCATACGCCCGTATGCCAACGACGGGTAACTTTTTTGATACCATTTTAGGGTTCTCATACTGATATTCCCTTCTCCATCTCGAAGTGATGTTGCGCAGTTTGCTCGATTCTGCTATATTTGCCTTGAAACCTAAAGCTCCTTGAAGAGAATCAATGACATCAAAGTCCATGGAATGCACTGAGTTCATCGCTTTATCGGTGATTATCCAAACATATTCATCTTTTACCATTCCCAATCTCTTTGCATTCACCAGAAGGCGAGATGCAAGAGACAGGGACATGTGCACTACATATATTTTTGTATCCAGAGTCATAATCTTATGCAACTCTTTGAGGATTTCATTATCTTTAGAGGAAAAAGAAATGACACTTCTGTAAGAGATGTGAATATTTTTTCCTTCAAATGATTCCACCCAATGAGGTATAGTTTTTCTCTCATTTTTAGTATACTCCTCATAAATAAGAACAACGTCGTTCCACTCAAATGATTTGACAGTAGAAGCAATGCCATCAAACTGAGTGGCCTCGTCCGATCTAATTTTAACGATGTAAGGGAATTCGTTAGGGGAGGCAACACTAGGAGCGAAAGACAATATAGGAATTTTAGCTTTCTCTGTTAGTATGGCTAAGAACTTGTCTTCAAGAAATGTCTCGAGGCCAATAATTGCATGCACCTTAATGTTCTCCAAAAGATCCACAGCTGCATTAGGAAATAAAACGGCCATGAGAAGAACTAATCAAGATTGCATAGATGCAAAAGGTGAGATAGATTTTTCAAACAAATAAAATAAAATAAATCGACAGATGTATGGAAATAATAAAAAATCAATATTATTTTCTCTTTTTACACTTGAACCATAATTTGGGCATAAACAGGAGAGGCATAACAGATAATTATCCTTTAATCACTAACAAATTCATAATCAAAATGTTTAAAAGGATAAATAAATAAATAAAAACTAACATGAATTATCCTCCATGAATAGTGAAACTTCCAAAAAAAAATAGATGCATATTCTTCATTATATAAATAAATAAATGTCGCCAAACTATCGAACAGCAAACTTTGAAACAATTTTGGCCCTTTTTCATTATTGAGTGTTTAAAACGAAGAAGAAACTAAGACTGACCTGCTGATAGAACACCAAGTGGTCTTCCATGAGAATCTCTTACATGCAAAACTGTACGTGTTGCGTAGTGACTATTCGACTCGTAAAAATCAGAAATGGCCATAGAAATGCAGGCATGGATAGTCTTCCCAACCCATGATCCCATATCAACTATGACTCCAACTTCAATTTCTTGAATTCTATTTGATGAACTAATCAAATTTGCAGCATATAATTCATCAGTTAAAAGACCAAAGCAAATGGAGAATATGAGAATTCTGCAAACACTTGCCATTTTCTTTTCATCTAATTATTAGTTTCATACATATATGCTGCAGTTGTGAAATGAGACATGTGAAATGAAACATTGAATATTATTTTAATTGATTGGTAAAAAAGTCTACCATGTGAGCAGTTTGCTTGGATTTTGAACTTGATAAGGACATTTACTAGCGAATATTTAAAAATAGCTCTCTTGTAATAGTTATATATTTACTTTTTAATGAAGAAGATGATGACAGCAATGTGACGGGAGTGTTTAGGAATATCAAATTTAAAGTGATTATTCGACATACAACTAATAAATAAGGCCCGTGCCACCGAAAAAATTGTACTTGAAGGTTCCATGTCTCGGACTGAGAATACACTAAGAATGATCACGAATAGAACCTTCAAATTACTTGCTCCTCCAAGGTAAGACTCCTTGCATGGCAAGGGCTCTAGGCCCAGAGTGGCGCTTGCGCATGAGTGGTCCGGGGACTCAAGGCATGACTAGGTCATCTGGAACTTAAATGATATCTTCCAAATCTAATTTTTATTTTGTGCTTTTAGCTTAAATGACATCATAAGAAGCAGCAAAATGGTCTGCTTTTAATTTCTTCAATGTTACGATTAAAATATCAATTTTGAACGGTTGGAAAAATTGGCTTTTATTAGTTGGTTTGACCAACTTTTGACCAATTATTTTAGTGGGTCCCGTTAGTTGGACAAAATATTTCTTTGGGAGAATGTGTTCTACTTCATAGGTAGATTAATGTAATGTATTTATTTTCTCAAAACCAATTTAGAATGAATGAGAAATTAAAGTCAAAAGATAACTACTTGAAGTAGCAATAAATTGGAATAAAAATTGGAAAAGTGCAAATTCCACATAGAAAAGCTAGATGAGTATAAATCACTTTATATTTCTCAAGTTTGAGACTTGAGTTAGGGTCCCAAAGAGTACCAATAGTCTTTGAAGTGAAGAGAACATACATGCTAGTAGGTTGGGCCAAGGCCTACATGCAGGTCGTGGATCTTGGGCTTGGCTTGGATTTGGGCCAAGCTGATATATATTTTTTGATAAAATAATATTTGATTTATATTATTTTTTTATTATTTAAAATAATAATATATTTAATTTATATTATTCTTTTGCAGGTTTTGTAATTTGTAGTGCTACTATTATAAGTTGATGTCGTTGTATCTTGGGAAATGAGTGTCGGAATACCGTCGGTATTAGTGCGGGGCATTATCGTTTTAAGGAGAAAGAGTCGAACTCTTGCCTCGACCATTAATATTTTATAGCATTCATTATGCACGACGTTATTTTGTTCAAATCAATTTACGGTGATATAATTATTTGGCAGACTTCCAACGAATCAAATTAATTCATTAGATGACATAAATTATTCGTATTCTTTTTCCGCCGGCCGAAGCCATTGACCTATCAAATTTATTTTTCTAATTTAGCCCCTGCTTGGACTCCATTTTTCCAAATTATAATGAGGGGAATAGTAATTTTCTGGAGAATGTATGGTTAAAAAAGAAGTAAATTTTTTTATGTTTATGTGTAATAATTTCTTTATTGGAGAATATGTGGTTGATAAGGAGAGAGAAATGAATTTTAATTTAATGGGAGCCAAACATGAGCTTAATAAAGTTTGAGATTAATATTTATTAATTCAAAATAAATTTTATATTACTAATAATACTGAAGAAGATCATTGTAATTATGAATATCCTTTTAATAACTGATTTTTTGGTACAACTAAAGCCGATTATCTTAAAATCAACGACCCGAAACCTAAATCGCCGCTACGAATTGCAAGCAAAGGAAAAAGAAGATTAATTGCAATCAATATATTCAAGATGTTGACTCAAGTAAAAAACGACGGGAGGTCACAATAGATGAATGGAAGTATTCAATACAATACATTATTATTCAGCATAATATTTTTATATAACCAAAATAGTGAAGGGAAATTTTTGCATTCAAATTCTTCTAATATTGCGTTTCACATTGCAGGTATGATCTGTTCAAGTTGAAGGATTGACAGGAAACAGTTAATATGTGGACTTTGAAGTTTGAAGAAGACTGAGAACTGGAAAAATCCATTTTCTACTCGGTTATAAATTTATAATAACTCATTCAACACAAATGTATGACCAGAAGTGTCCCATTTGCTGACATTTAAGGCAGGATACCGACAGTTTTTCTTCTCATAAATCATAGCCAATGAAAACTCACCATTCTTACCGTCAGGGCCGGTCCTGTGATTTTCGGGGCCCGAGCCCAAAATCAAAGTAAATGCAAAATCCAACAGTTTATTATGCAACGTAGTTCTAACTTAAAACTAAACAGTACAACAACAAACAAATATAAAGAACAAAAAATTTATATTATAAAATAACAAAACCAATAAGAGTTCAATACAG